AAAATGTCAAAAGGGTAAAATAGAACTGTATTTGACCTATCAATATATTTTATATGTAATTAAAGAATATTTCCTACGTAGTAGTAGAAGTCACTAATAATTATGATTAAAAGAGCATAGATTCAAAACTTTCTCATTTAGAAAGATAAAAGTCATTCTTTCGAAGAAAATTCACAAAAACCAATTAAAAACCAGAAAATAATGATCATTGAAAATTTCATCAATATTTTGAGGAATGGTTTAAAAAAAAAATAATCGAATCGAGCTTGAATTTTCGAAGATTACTAAACTTCTTACCATCTACAACATTCAATAAAAATCAGGACATTCTAAGATAGTACTTCATCGTCAAGTCCTAATTTCTCAGATACTGACTCTTAAATAATAATTCGTATACAGTTGATGTAATTACTGTTTGTATTATTTTCAGTGAATATATTTCATTTCGTAAACAAATTCAAATGACATCATCATCATCATCAATGATATATCTCATTAAATAGATCTCTCATTCATCTGATATAAAATAAATTCATCTTCAATTTAATTTATGGCGTTAATATGAATCAGTATGAACAAAATTATTCATTAATAAAACTGAATTTTGATGATCTTTTATCAATCATTGCCTCACATTATGAAATATTATTTTTCGATTCCTTTGAACTTTAAATATGGTCGAAAAAAAATGAAATAATTTAATAACACGAAATATTTGTTCCGTCAATAGAATAAAATAAATTAAAGGAAATTCAAACTACTTTTTGTTTTATTTATTAATCGAACAAATATAATTTTTATTTTCTTATTTACTTAATATCTTCTATTTTTTGTTAATTATATTTCTATCATCATATAATATTAACTTCTTGTTTTAAACTATTTTGATACTAATAAACTTAAAATAATTGTTCGAAAAAAGGCTAAAATTTGTAAATTATTTATCATATTATAATGTTATATTAAAAGTTTAAAAAAAAATAATAATTAAGTCTGATCACTAACAACATGTTATACATTTTTATTTTCATTAAAAAATAATCCATTTTGTATGAATTATATGTAATATGTATCAATCAATAAAAATGATTAAGAAAAATAATCATAGAAAACTTTTTGAATAATATCACTTGAAAAACGTGAACTATTTGAGTACGTCTCTTTTATCAAATGAAGTTCATATTCTCAAATTTGAGAAAGAAAGGAACTTTTATGATTCAATTACTGAACATAATATAAAAGTCATATTTATGTAGACGACGTTGTCTCATTACATGAGGTTGTCTTATTATAGCATATCTTGCTATTCATTTTTGACTCCACCATCTGTCAATTACATGGACATATATGATTAGTTTTCTGATGATTATTCTCATTATGTGTCTAAAACTATAATTTTTCTCTATCGTCTGCCTTTTCTTCGAGTTATTATTTCTATAACATGCCATGCACACACACCCATACATAGATACATGCTAAAAAGAACACAAACAAAAAACGAAGCACATTGTAATGATACACTTATGGTAAAAGCGATGTGTCTTTTGTTGTTATTTCTGATGTCTTAGTTTTTCTTGGTTGACTTCTATTCCATTGAATCAATTTAATTATTGGATGAATGATTCCATATATAATAAAACTTAATAATAATACAATCAATGGTAAAAACATTGAAAGAAATTTTAAATTAAATAAATATTTTCGCTGTGCATAATAATCATCATGTTTCCAACTAATATAAACATGAATAAAAGCAATTAATAGACAAAATGGTCCTAAATATGCTGTTAATAAATGATATTCACGCCATAAAAGACGTTCACTTATCCATGGAAAATAAACAAATGATAAAATGCATAAAAGTATTAATGTAAATAAACCAAAAAAGATAGGCAAAAAGAGTAGACGTTGATTGAAATCATTTTTTGAAAATAATAAAAAGATTAAATGTAAAAAAGCAAATATTAATGAATACCATGCTAAATATCGTCGTGATTGAAGCCAACGTTGTACAAATGTTAAATGTGGAACAACATTTGCTATAATAATTAAAAAAAAATGAAAATTATTTTAATTAAAAAAAAAAAGAGAAGAAAATTTACTTCGATTTTGTTTTTTTAATATGAATAAATAAATAAAATCAATTAATTCAAGTATTGGTCTTATAAAAAATAATAATGAAAGTAATGTTACACTTGTTGATGCTGTTATTGAACTTGCTTGAGAAAAACTTAAATTTGAATAATAATAATTCTGATTATTTTTATATTCAAACATTGATAAAATAAAACATATACTAAATATAATTATTGTTGATACAAATGGAAATAAACAATTACGAAATGATTTTATTTGTTCATAATTATATGAATATTGATCAAGAAAATAAATTCCATTTGAAAAACAATTTAAATCATGAATAAATTTAATTAAATTTAATGGTGATCCTTGTTCAACAGCAACTCCGACACGTTGTGTACCATTTTCAATTTCCCAATTTGATAAATTTCCAAAAGCACGATAGGAGTTTGGTATAGATATTAATAAATGAGAAGATTTTTTTGAAAAATATTTATTAATCAATTCTCGTGCATCAATTATTAATTGTTGTTTATTTTCATTAAAAAAATCTTCAATATTATTTATTTGATTATCTGTTATAAGAATAATTGATGGTGATTGTTTACAAAATGTTTCATATGATACATAATTAGATTTTTCATTTGAATCTATTTCAATTGAATTTCTATCATATAATATTGGTTTTGGAAAACCAGATAATAAAATACGTTTCATAAATGCTTGTGAACGTCGATTACGACCAACAATACCAATTAAAGGTAAAGAATTTTGATTTATTTGTTGTTTTAATTGTTGTTCACCATCATTCGAATTATCATAAACTGATATTAATGATTGTTGTTTTTTAGCTATATTTGATGATTCTAATGGCATATTATCACTATTATCTAAAGTTGACAATTTAAGACAAATTGATAATCAACACAAAAAAAAGAAAAGACAAAAAGAATATTTACTTTGTGATAAATTATCATGATTGGATAAAAGATGTTTTTCTTCATTAGTTGTATCGATATCATTTGTTGTTATTAATGGTTGATTAGAATTCTCTTCTATTATGGCTTCAGATATATGTGTCATACCTAGTGATGAATTGATATCATATAATGTCGAATTCATTGGTTTCTTGTTTTAATAATATTAGACAAATAGAAGAGGACAGATATATGAAGAGATATGACAAGAGAAGAGCAAATGATCGACACACAAAAAGCTTAGCAAATGTTCTGTCTGTATGTGTCTTTTTTTCTTTTTCTTGTTTCTCTGTGTGTGTCTCTTTGCTTCTCCCTCTCTCTCTCTCTCTCTGTTTCTCGCTTTCAAGAGGTCAAACGGACATGGGAGATAGATCGGAAGCAAGCATAGTAAATAAATAGAGCATCTACCATATTGCTCACGAGGCGGCATCGACAGATGGCTATCTATTCTTAGAATCTCGTAGTATTTTTTCATTGTGCACGCGATTAATCAGTCTAATGCATTAATGGATGGGGCAAAAACTCCAACTGTTAATATGTACATTGATGTTTTCTCTAGAACTTCTTCTATCAATCAAATTAGATAATGACATCGGACATGATAAAGATTAGAGTGGTAAAAACCATAACTCTCGAATTACTTTCGGTCGCCATGTGCTATTAATAAGGCCTTTGCCATGTAACACTATCAAAAGTACACAATACGAAAATCTATTAATGTCTATTAAATTTGTATAAGTTTGAACATAATCAACAAACTATGTTTAAATCATATTTAATTGAAAAATGAATCAACTGAAATATTGAAAATCAAAAAAAGATTTTAAGTGAAGACAATTATGTTTAAAGTATATTTCTATTCTTTACTAATTATGTAATATTGAATCAAAAAAAGAAATAAATCTTTCCCGTTTGAAGATAAAGCCTAACAATGAAATAAAAACAAATTGAATCCTATTGACATAAAAACTACTAATGTTAAGAGACTGAATAAGTTAATAAAAATTTACAAAAAAAAAAAATTGTTTTTTTAGTAAACATAATGAACTATTTGTTCTTTGTTTAAATGGCGTTTAATGATTGTCATGTCATCATGGGAATAAAGTCATTTAAAATTTTCTTTGATACAACTCTTTAGGGTATATTATTCGCTTGAATGACGATTATGAGAAGTGTCGTGTACAAATTCAATATATACAATGATTTGTCAGTGGAATAAAAAAGAAAATTAAATCGAACAACATTGATCATTGCTGTTATTCATAGTCTTATTTAGATTAAATTACTAGTTGTCAAGA